GACTTTTTTTCAATTCTGAGGTTGCTCAGTGTACACTGACAACAAGAGATAATAAACACATTGACAATTAAAAGCTTCATGGAAAAGATCTGGAAAACTTCATAACAATCAGAAAAAAACAGAATTCTATACAGGTTTGTGAAGAATGTTTTAAAAGTCAATAGCAAATATAAGATACCAGTTATAGATTTCCTTAAGCCATCCTATCAGAAGGATATATATCTACTATTAAAATGTTACTGGGCTGTTTAAAAGAAAATAGAATTTAGAAGAACTATCACTCCAGCAAACTCCAGCTATTATCTGTCCCATTTAGCAAAGTCACAAAGGATGAAAAACATCACATTTGCCAGTATAATCACCTGAGCTACTAAAATATACTGGAAGTTAGTTAAGTTGGACAGTTAACTAGATCTTCTATGTTATTTGGATGCCTAGCTCCCACTGAAAACAGTGTAGTGCTACATACTTCTTGAGGATCTGGTTTTTATCCTACACTGCATGAGTTCAGACATTCACTTGCCACTTCAGACATTCACTTTCCACTAAGAGTTGCTGCTCTTCCAGTAGAAAACACGAGTGTATAGACATTCATGATTTTTCTCCCAGAAGAAAAATAGCTGCTCTGGGAGAAAAATAACCTGGGGATAACTAGGGTTAAATCACTCCCAGAAGAGTTTCTAGGAGACATTGTGCTTCTAGGAGAGACAAGCCGACCCTGAGCAACCTGGGCCAGTCAACCAGGGCTGATCTGTGGGCATAGGGGCCCCCTGGTTGCGCAGCATCAGCGCTGCAAGCTCTCTGCTCTTCATGGGCTCAGTATTTGAATGTTTGTCCAGGGGTCTCTGGGTAAGTTTGTTGGGTTTTTTTAACCAGGAAAAAAAACTCAAGAGACTTCTGCCAGATCATCTGAACATACATATAAAGTTTTAATTATTTTCCTATTACAAAAGGGTTATTCTGTTTTAATTTTTAACAGTTCACTCTAAGCCTGCACTGTAAAAAGGATATTTTTCTTTAATAAAAGATATACAAGGTTTCTGTACAATGCTCTCTGCTCAAAAGATGACAACAGCATGTTTTAAAAAAAAAATGCTATGTCAAAAAAATTTAGCTGACAAACTTCCAAAACTTTGTAACCCAAAGCATCCTTCATATTCAATCAGATTTCTTGCTTGTCAAGTACCCAACAATTCAAGGTCGTGGCACAGCTAAGTCAAGGATTATCGAACGGATTTTTTTTATTTCCTCCAAAATGAGTCACTTACCTTCTGGACCAGTTACTTCAGGTAAGTGAGTAAATTTCTCATTGCAATAGTTCCCCTCACAGCAGCAGAAAAACACTTGAGGGTTCTCTTCTGTAGCTACACATTCTTGCCTGCATCAGGAAAAGGAGAATAGAGGAACAAAGGAAAGAGAAAAATAAACTATCAGCAAACTGCCTTAAATTGTCCTTGGAAGCAAGTGTATAGCTTCTGTGATTTCTCTTTACCATTTACTTTCTCTCTGTTGCATTCTGCAACTCTATAGTCTCTTCAGTGACAGAGAAACTTTTAAAAAGAGAATAATCAAATACAAAACTTTGCTACAGGGTTTTAGTTTGTAATCATTGTACCCAAATATACAAAAGGGTATGTTAAACCCAGTAAGAGTGCACACTCCAGTTCTTGGCAGACAGCAAGTACACCCTTATCCTCTCTCTAGCTATATTTTTAAGGACATGATTACACTATTTTTTATGCAGGACCTCTACCTCATTCAATTCACTGAATGGATGGTGCTCAAGGAATGAATCAGGCTCTTGGATTCTGAACAAGGTTGAGGACCTCAACCTCATTTGTTCCATAAATTAGAAGATACTGAAAGAAATAAGATATTCCTG